AGTGCATTTTTGGGGGACTATTTTCAGCGGCAGTGAGTGCAGTTAGTAAATATTCATGGACCCAGTGTGGGTCCATGTTCATTGTAGTGAAGGATGATGTGCAACGATGTAGCTCACTGGTGTATTTTTAGGAAATTGCGGTTCTCTGTCACGCAGAGAAATAAGATATATCAGGCTTTGGCTACACAGACAATACTTGTTTGTAGAATCAATTCATTAATCATCTATTCTTTGATAATAAGAAATAGAATAGATAGAATATCACCAGCCTTATAATTAAAGCAATAATTATTTTCCACAAGAAAGAAGAGAAGATACACAATTTTTAAATGTTTTTAGATCTATGTAAATTCTTCCCAATATAATCGCAAATAACATTAATTAAACACATAAACAAACCTAATGTATAATCTGTTTCCACAGAGTTATTTGATGAATTTCTCCTAAAAAGGTTCAAAACACTTATGTTGCAATTAAATTTATCACATGGATGTAACTTTATATAGAATATAAATGTATCATATTAATATATCAAATTTTGCACATCTGACCAAAATTCATGACATTAAAAAATAATAAGTAAAACTTACATTTGGTCCAGAGTCCAAAGTGCTGGGAATAAAGAAGGTATATGAACTTCCAAATCCAAAGTCCCGGCTGTATTCACATGACTGTGAACTACCCTTTATGGTGAAGGTGACCCTGGTCATTAGGAAATAAAATCAGTTTAACAACTTGTATTATTGTTTGCATGAAATAATGATTCTAGTATACACTGAATTAGTCAAGATGAAAAAAAATCCTTACTTTCCATTTTTTATCAAGGAGTAGTTGGAATAATAAAATGGTTCAATTATTCCTAAATCAGCTGCCACAGTTGATACGTTCACTGTTGTATTCATTCCATTTATAAATCTGAAACAGGTATTGAGAAAAAAAAGAACATTCAAAAACAGCCAATAATACCAACATATGTACAGTAATCTTATTTTCAATAATTTACTCTGCAGATAAAGATTAGGGCTGCAGCTATATGATTTATATATACCATTTATATATACAATACAGCATATAACACAATTCAGCTGATTAATTAATTGTATATTTGTTACCAGTTTGTAATTCAACTTACCGGATTGCATTGTTGCCTTGTTCTGGCTTGGCAGTCAAATCATCAGTCTGAGGAAATAAGATGCTGATTAATTTAACCATTAAAAGGTGACTTGTGTGTCTTTGTTTTCATTATTCTGTGCGTCTAACTCACCAGCTGCCACTCATCAGTGAGGGTTGAAGGAATGAGAAGCGTTTGGCGATGTTTCTTGTCCAAGGAAATAATTTTCGTCACTGCAGGGCTGCCTATTGAAACACTGATATTTCCTGCTTCAAATGTGAAGAATTCCTCACTGGCCTGCAAAACAAAGGATCTGTTAAAGCTGTGCAATCACTGGGGTAAGAACATTGGCACACAATCACTGGTGTTTTGGATTGCATCTGATTTATACAGAGTTTTCAACTCCCAGTTGTGTGTTATTGTGTGGGGACATACCTGAGCTGGAGAAAGTACCAGAGGAGCATTGCCAGGCAGATTAACTGTTACTGGATTACTGCCCATGTTAAGTAATTTCAACTGACTCTGGGAGGCCGTTGGGAAGGTGGGCAATGTTTTCTGAAAAATACAAAGTACAAAGTTGAAATGGGCACTTGTCCTTGTATTAGAATAAATTGATATAATTGTATTTAACATAAATGAATCCCTGAACTTTTGTGCATTTTAAAGTATATAAACACAATAATTGTTTTCTACTTACATCAATTTCAATCTGAACCACAGCGGCGCAGATAAAAGCTATAGCTGCCAAAAGCATCCCCACTGTCATTCTTTTCAGAGGTCTGTTGAATTAAATTTTATGTTCTGTTACTGATTTGTACAAAATTTGAGCAAATTACAACAGCAAATGTCAACATTTTTATACAGAAATATGTTTTTATGATTGTAATATCAACCAACCAACATGGTAATTATGGGCCTGATTCAGTAAAGTTACACTATAAAGTATTGAGATATTTTCCTTTTGCAGAATTTTGTTTTGAGAAACACATCAGCATTTGAAGCTGAACTGTCTTATGACACTGCATGTTCACTTGCATTCATATTATTCTCCATTGTTTAGCAGTTAAAGAAATAGTGTGACATTTTGGGAAATCTCTTATGTTCTGTCTTAGATGAGAAGATTGATACCACTCTCAAGGCTGGTTGCTAAATATGAAGCTACAGGCAGAAGCCTTTTTGCTTTTTGCTAGTTTTACAGACTGGAAATAGGGGGAAACACCTAGCTCTATATCAAAGGACCAGTGTGTAGGATTTAGTGGCATCTAGTGGTGACACCCTGCAGTTATCTGCCTCCAACCAGTAAAATTGCAGTTTACATCCATGTCTGTCCAGACTAATATAATATATGTATTTAAGACTTTGGAGTCTATCACTGTATTGATCATCATAGATTTATTGGCTAAACAAGTACATGTATGTAGATGATTACTATGTAAAGATGGATGTATATGACTATCAGAACTCCCAGGCAAGACTGCCCACGGCCAAGAAATAGTCTAACACATAACCTCCTGTAAAATGTTATTAATAAATGTAAATACGAAAATAAGCGCAGTTTTCCAAAATGTCAAACTATCCATCAAACATGCAAGAAAAGGGGAAGAAGAATTCTGAAATAGATGAGGAGTTTTTGTACTAGAACAAAAACATCTGGAAATTAAAACTTTGAAAGCAAGAAATATTTCAAAGTTGAATCAAAGTAAATGTTAAATAATCTTATGGAGTTATTTAATATATAGACCGACCGATACTCCATAGGCCTCATAGCTTACTTACTAAATTCCAGCAGTACTTACGTAAAGTTCAGGCCACATTTTTGGATCAGAGGGTAGATTAGACTGTCCATTATAGGCACAAGGGTCAGGATCAGGATAGGGTTGACAGTCTTTCAAAAACATAAATTGCACAGTGATTAATTTTTCAAATAAAGTGCAGTATATCAGTCAAAGCTTAAAAAAAATATATATACAATTTTTTTAACTTACCTGCATCTGATCCGGCTGTATCACAAGTAGTCCCTGCAGAAACAAAGAAACTGTTAAAACACAAACACATTGCTTTACTTTAATTAAAATATTAATTAAGTTTGGTTTCTATCCCCGAACTTACAAAGTTTCCATCCATAGTGGTGGCTTGCAGAGTCCATCGAGAACCCTTTAATAGAGATGCAGAGTTTAGCACAGTTTCCACTGCCAACAAGTGATGTTGCCTTTTAAAAAGCAGGAGTAACTTTAACATACCTTTTGGTCAAATAAGGTCCAGAACATCGGAAGTGGGATGTATAAAAAGAGGACCTTCAGCACCATTTTGATTTGAGCAATGAGGAGTTTCTACAGCACAGACAGACATAATATGAACTGCTGTTATTCCACTGATGAAACAACTTGTTAGAAACATGAAACATGAAATTAAATAAAGTGAAACTTACCTCATATTTGTCCTCGGCCCAGTCCATCCAGTGCTCCTTCTTTGGGTATTGACTGCTTCTGTGCCTGTAGCGGTTTTTAACGGCAAACTGATTGACAGAAGAGCAAGGCGAAGGAGAAACATGAGTTTAGAAATGCCTTGAGCTACGTTGTTACACATTAATGCAGAATGTGTTGATGCAAATGGTGTAAACCAGACTCACCCCAATACATTTACACACATCCAGCATGATATTTCCCTGCGGTTCAGCTTTGTAGTACATACCACTTCCAACGATAAACACCACTGTTAGGGACATCACAGGCACATCGTCATTATCAGCACACAGTGTATGCACCAAATCCTTACATTTCTGCTTAATTTATAGCACAGTCACCAAATGGTTTAGACATACCAAGTGCAACCACCATTAATGCTGCGGGGACACCGAAGGCCAGAGAGTAACACTTCTGCTGACTGTAGATGCCACATTCTTGAGCTGCAGATGGAAACAAACTAGTGTCAAACTACAATTTAAATTTCACTCAGAGTAACTCAAGAATTATCACATGCACTCAAGTTTATGGCACTGTTCGTCATAAACTTTATGTCCTACTCATATCTACCTCTGAGGATTGGAGTGATAATGGTTGACAGGAGACTCCCACCATTGATGCACAGGTAGAATACAGAGAAGAAAGTTCTCCTTTGCTTTTCCTGGACAGAGAAATAAATCAGTGACCTTTTATTATGTTGCATGCATGTCGATCACTGCAGAATATGATGTGTAACCAATTCCAAAGTGATTCATATCTGTGTTTATGATATTAAATGATACAGAACATATAAAGAAAAGTAAAAAAGATTTATTAACCATGCTAGTGACGTGGCTCTAGAGATGGCTCAACATCTGTTGGATGGTTTGCCATGATATTTTGTACTGTATTTGTGGTCTCCTGAAGATTAATCCTAATGACTGTGGTGATCCACCAGCTTTTCCTCTAGTGTCACCATAAGGTTCAGATTTGTGATTTTGAGTGAAATCTATCCAATAGATGTTGAGGTGCTACATTACCCAAAATGCACCTGGAGTGCTGGCAGTTCTGTTAGATATTCGTGTATGTTATGCTGGTGTAGGCTAATATAGCCTCAAGCAGAGAAGTGGTCTGGTGAGCTCACTCCACACTCCTAGATTTTTTTTTAATTTCAACAACAATGTTGACTCAAGTGACATCACTTGGGAAAGTGCTCAGGATTTCTTGCAGTCCCTCTGGAGCCACAAAAGCTTTATTAAGCAAATGGTTCCATTCCTCAATGCTGAAACAAAAGATGGGTGAACACTGTAAACGTTGAGACTTCTGTCAAAGATTCTGCCGATGTTTGCATTGTCGTTGTGAGCAGTACACTAATGTTAGCATTTAGCTTCACTGGCTAAGAACGCAGCCTCACAGAAACACTAGCATGGCTGTAGACCCTTAGTCTTGTTAAACCGCCAAAGGTTTAACCTTTAGAGGAGACGACTCAGGCTATGGTAGGAGCAGAAATGAGGTAATTTTCTAACCTGACTGTCACTAAACTGGTCTCCACCAAAGGCAGCAACACAAGGTTTGATGCCGCCAGTGCCCAGAGCGATGAGGAAGAGACCCACCATGGACAGCGCACTGAATGTGAAGAAGAAGATGTGTATAAGCAGAGTACTGTAGAAATATGTGATGAAAACTGCCTGCTAAAAGCCCACATCCTGGAGTTAGACCCAGTTATTACTGTAGAAGAATAGAAACCTACACATGAAAGGTCATGTTGTCTGGTGTCCCGTCTCTGTCCGTGTCAGTGATGTCATGGATTGCACTGACCGCCATCGCAACCTGGCCAATCGCATACACAATGGACAAGTAGATGATAGTCCTGTAAGAGGTAGAGGGAAGAGACAGTAAGAGTCAAATCTTCAAATCCTTTACATTAGAAGAAATATCAATGCAACAATGTAAAAATACAGCAATATAAGTGATCAGCAAAAGTATTTGAAGTATTAAGAATAAAAGTACTGCAGAAAAATACTGTGTTTGTCTTTGTTTTTGTGTTTGTTGGTCAAGGGACCCCAATTAGGCCCTTTTGTTTTGTAAATGTACTTTTGTACCACTGTATGATAGTCATCCTCTGAAACTACTTTCATATGTTTAAAGACTGAAATAAATAAAGCCTTCATGCATTAAATCAATGGAACTTGAGGCAGCCACTCACTTAAACTTTCCCAGCCAGGAGTCAGCCACGATGGCCCCAAGGATAGGGGTCAGGTAGCAGAGAGCCACAAAAGTGTGATAGATGGAGGTGGCCAAGTCATTGTCCCACTGTAAGAAGTACTTGAAGTACAGCACCAGGACAGCTGTGCACAGACAAGGGAAAGGAAGGCTTCCTCTTATTTTACAGTATATAATCATCAATCTAAGACAGCACAGTATTGGCTCTGAAATGTTTGGTCATGTCGCACATAGAATATCCAACAAGTCATCCAAATTAAACAACAAAATATATAACATTAAAAAAATAAAGACCAATAATCACATGGTTAGGATTCAGGAACAAAATATTCTCACCTCGCATGCCATAGTAAGAGAACCGCTCGCAGAACTCATTCACAACAATGAAGAAGATGCTGAGTGGGTAACCACACACCTCTTTACTCTAATGGATAAAAGAAACAGCAGCAAAGTGTTCAGCAGTGGTGGAGAAAGTATTTTTTAAAGTATCATTTACTTATGAAAGAAATAGAAATACCACAATGAACCTAAAAGCACAGAAGTATTAGAAGTATAGCAA